CCATATAAAAATCTATAGAAGAAATATGTAATTTCAAAACAAAGGACACCTTCCCAGGGAAGGACGAGTAGCAAGCTTACTTAGCCATTTGGAAACCACTGGTCTAGACACCCTTCTCTCTAAAATTCCATGAGTAAGTTTAGAATATCCGAGGCATTCACATGACTTTCATTATCACTCATCTATCTATTTCAAAAGACAACTAGGGACCTCTTTGATATTTCCTTGAGTAGAAAATCACAGAGTGCAGAGTGATTTTTCAGTCCTCTGACCTGCCTGTGACACGAGGACACATCTGTGCCCTACTGATCGCTGTCACTAGTCCCTATATCAGAGTTTTAACCTGGGGTCCACAGATTTCCCGGTGTTCCCAACACTGTGAAAACATACGTGGTATTTTGCATATACCAGACGATCCCTGAACAACACGAGGGCTAGAGGTGCTGACCCTTTGCACAGTGGAAAAACTTTTGACGCCCCATACCATAACTACTGACAGCCCAGAGGCCCCACCAACACCATAAACAGTTGGTTGCCCATAATTTGCATGTTATTCATACTATATACTGTATTCTTACAATAAAGCTGTGAGAAAATACATTAGTAAGAAAATCATAAGGAAAATGCGTTTACAGTTCTGTATTTATCGCTACTCTAAGTTTATGTCATCTGTTTATGAGATGAATCATCTGTCAGTACCTCCGTCTACGCTGTGATAGGATGCGACGCGCTCTAGACCTTATACACGGGGGATGTGCATTACTAACACCAGACATCAAAAATGAAAAGATAGCACATGGTCTCTTAGGTGTTTTTGTGCATAAGTTTGAACGTTAAAAAAAACAGGTTTGGGTGATAGTTTAAGTTGGCAAATGATAAAATCGTATCTGCGTGTATTTTATGCGTTTGTGAAATACCTAACATTTTTGTAATTTTTTTTCTATGTTTCTAGGCTATGCAGCGCATCTGCAAGTTTTCTCAAATTATCGCACATCTCCAAAATATCTTCCAATATATTTATTGAAAAAAATCCACATGTAAGTGGACCCGCGCAGTTCAAACCCGGGTGTCTTGTTCAAGGGTCAACTGTATACTGTTTTCCTGGGGGAAGGGCTTATAACTTTCCACGTACCAGAAAAGATTAGAGGCTCTTGCTTTGGGTAAGTTTCTTGCTTATGCATTAAAGAAATAATCTTGTGGCTTAGGAGTCCCTCACAATTTTCTTCTAGTTCTTTCTTGGCGGGAGGGTGGCGTCTAATTTCTGGTTTGCATTTGACAGGCTGCCTGCCTAAGTTCCTTGTTCTCACTTTAATGGTTTTCTCAGTAAAAACAAAAACCATTCTCCCCTAGCCGTGAGTCATACGGCACTTTAATTTTGTATTTGATTTTTAGTTTTTGAAGTATGGAGGATGGAAAAAGTCAGGGAGTCGTGTCCACTCTGACACTGGCAAGTGGGGAGACAAGCGCCTAGAGACGGGGAGACATGCAGGCCCAGATAAAAGGCGTAAGGACGGACCTACAGACAGGCTGGGGAGGGGGGAAAGGAGAATGAGTGACAGGGAGGCCGGCAAGAGCACCAGGAGAGACACGGGCGGGCAAACGGGCGGCGGGCAAGAGAGAAGGCAGGCCGACCGAGGAAGGAAGAGAACAAGGAGAGAGAGGAGACAAAGTGATAGATAACAGTGTCTGAGGCCGCACGGGGCTCTGTGACTGATAAAGCGCCATCACATACATTACCCCGCAGGCAGACAGGGAGAATCCAGCAGACAGATGGGGTGATGGAGGGATGCAGGCCAATCAGACAGAAGAGGGGGAAGGTGGCCAATCAGAGGGACGCTAGAATGCAGCCCAAGACAGACAGTTGAGGGGAAAGACAGAACCGAGAAAAGAGAAGTGAGAGAGGGAGGGCGGGAAAGGGGAGAGAGGCCCAGAGGCCGAGGCTGACACCGTGCGGGTCAGGAACGCGGGTGAGGAAAGAGCGGTGCATTCTGTGCAAAACTTTCCTTGTCGTCCTCCTGGAGAGATGCGGACAGAGGCCATGTCTTTGCTCCCCGCAAGCCTGAGCCTCATCATCTTCGAGGTGGCAGGGCAGAGGCGCCGGCGGGAAGGAGGAAAAGGGAGCAAAGTTGTAGGAGGAAGTAGTTTTTCAGACCGGGAGGAAGACTCCCTCATTGGACAGGCCCAGGGATCGAGAGTAGAGGCCTGTGAATGCTGCACACGGACGCGTGCACACGGATGTGTCGGGAAGGCAGGGCAGGCCCGCACGTACTCTACGTGCACACGAGCTGGGCCCACGGGCTACCTAACTTAGAACGTGGTACTTTTCAGTTCGACGGGGCCCCCACGTCCTGTCTCAGTTGATCCACATGATCCATGGCTGGGCAATGAGGGGACCAGCAGAGCTGGGCTGTGTCCAGGTAGCACCCCACGCAGAGGAGAGCCTGGCAGGGGTGAGCACGCCTCCGGTACCGGCCGCAAGAACAAGTAGCCAGTCCGTCAGAAAGACAGGTGCCCTAGAGTAGAAGCAAAAAGAAAAGGAGCAAGAACTGGCAGGCCCAGTGAAGTGCCAAGGCGGAGTGGCTGAGTGACAGAGAAAGAAGCATCCAGCAAGACTGGGAGAGGAGGAGGAAGGAGGGCAGCAAACGGCAAGGGACTTAGATCCGGGGAGACCCTCGTCTGGAATGAGAGCTGAGAAGTGCAAAGTGGCGGCTGCCTCAGGGACAGGGGCAGGGGGCCGGCGGAGAGGGGCAGGGGGCCAGCGGAGAGGGACAGGGGTACAGCGGAGAGGGGCAGGGGACTGGTGGAGAGGAGAGGGACAGGGGGCCGGCGGAGAGGGGCAGGGGGCCAGCGGAGAAGGGCAGGGGGCCAGCGGAGAGGGGCAGGGGGCTGGTGGAGAGGAACAGGGGGACGGTGGAGAGGGGCAGGGGGCTGGTGGAGCGGGGCAGGGAGATGGTGGAGAGGGGCAGGGGGTCGGCCAAGAGGGGCAGGGGGGAGGTCCACGCGGCACGGGACACCACTAGCGCCCCACACGTTTTGCATCGCGTGTGTGCTACCGATTGGGACGCGGAGGGACGTGCAAAGAAGGTGAAAGAAGAGCGGCGGAGACGTGGACGGCGAGAGGCAGCCAGGCAGCGGCCGGCAAGCAAAGGCGAGAAGAGCAGGGGAGGCTGGGAAGATGGCAGCAAGGCCAGGGCAGGCCAACCACCCAAGGAGCCAGGAACACAAGCAGCAGCGGGGCCCCCCTCGAGCAGAGGCCAGCAGGGAGACAAGGCAGGGCGGGCGGCGCAGCAGGAAGGCCCGGAGACTTCGGGGCGAGGGCGTCGCTGACAGCTCTGGGGTAGAGAGGCCGCCGCCGCGGATGGGGAGCAGGTTTCAGGAAGCCAAGGGAGCAAAAGCGGACGTGCAGCCGGAGGAGAACGAGGCAAGCACTGGACGGGGAGCCCGCGGCAGCGAAGCGGGCAGGGCGGACAGGCAAGCAGACGGACGCACGGGGAGGCGAGGGAAAAATCTCGAACTCAGCAGGCATACATAAGGGGAGGAACACGGAGAAGAGCAACATAAGAGGCAAACCCAGATAGGGAAGCATGGCAGGGCCTGGAAGGTAGACAAACCAAGAGACGAAGGCTTAAAAAAGTGACAGAGACAGGCAGGCGGGGAGACAGATGGCTGGAGAGAGAGTGGTGGGCAAACAGCCAGAGAAGCAGACAGACAGCCAGAGAAAGAGGCTGCCAGCCAGTCAGGGAGGGGCAGACAGGCAGGCAGGCAGACACCATAACAGGAGCGAGCAGGTAGAGAGGCAGGCGGGAGCCAGGATCCAAGACGGCAAAGCGAGAGAGGTCGGTGGGAGAGGAAAGAGGAGAGGAGAGGTGGGCGGACAGAGGGGGACCCGGACAAGAGGAAGAAGGAAGCAAACGAGCAGATCCACATGCAAAGCACACTCGAAGGAATGACGAATGTGGGGACAGGGGTGCGCACCTGCAGCAACTGGCACATGGTGGCGGGCGGGCAGGGGTGCTCGGCGCACGGGGAGGGGGCACACCGAGGCAGGCAGGCCGAGGCGCACACGATGTGCAGGGCTGGCCCACATCCATGTGGGGACACTCCGCCCCGACACACGCCGAGGGGCCGGGGAGAGGAGGGAGCCAGGCACACAGGAGGAAGAGACAGACACATGGAGGCCGAGCCCGGAAGACAGAAGTAAACAGAAACAAGACAGAGGTGGGAAGTCACTTAGAGGTGACAGAGGCTGAGAGCCGCGGGGATGGGAGTCAGCGTCGGCGAGGAAATAAGATCACACACACAGAGAAGCCCCGGTACAGAAAGAGGGGGATACCCAGATGGCCTCGCACAAAGAGACTGAGCGAGGGAACAGAACACAATCGAACAGAAGAGGGACAAGAGGTAGACTCGGCGCAGGACCGACGCAGGAGCCCAGCCGAGAGACTCCCGAAGGCCAGGTCAAGAAAAAGATGGACATCCTCACTCGGTCAAGTGCATCAGTGTGTGTATATGGGGGATGGTGCATCAATAGAGAATATTCCAGCCTCCTAAGCAAACATTGGCACAGTATTCCCCGTCGTCTGAGGTGCTCCTGAGCACTGCTGGGCCGGGGCGGGGGGGGGGGGGGGGGTTGCTGGCAGGTCTGCTCAACAGGTAGAGAAATAACCCCGGAGAGAAAGGGTCCCCCAGGCAAAGGAGGGGAAGCAAGGAAGAGGCCAAGGGAGATCAAAAGAATGGGAGGAAGCCGGAGTTAGTTAGGAAAGGTGACAGGGACTGAAAAGGGTAGAAATGAGCTTTTTGCCCTCCTTCCTTTGCCGGCACCGCTCAAGAGGCAAGTTTTAGAGGACTTCTCTGATGCATCTCTGGATGAGAAAGCTCCTTTAGGACTCCTTTCCAACCTTCCATCTGATTCCCGGCACCACTTCTGGGATAAACACTGGGGTACGGTGGGACATGATGGGCCAAGGGAGTGGAATGAAAATTCCAGGGGGAACCCCTACCTCTGTCTTTTTCTCGGTCCCAGAGACTTTTCTGTTTCATCGTACCTCAGTTTCTTCTACTTTACCAGTGTCCAAGATCATGGAGAAAGGGAAATATACTGCAACGGGAGAAGAGAGAAAACAATTTCACAATTTTTCAGACTTGACTCTTTCCCCTTTATTCTAAAAATCTGTACTCCTGACCCCTAAATTAATTTCCCAAGTCAGATGAATTTTATAGTCTGAGCCACTGGGGGAGGGGAGGACGAGGTAAAGCAGAAGAGAGTGCAGATAAAATTTACAACAATTATAAATCACCGAAAAGGCTGGGCAAAGGGGAGAATCAAACATGGACTCCTTTGGAAAAAAAAAAAAAAAAAAACTCAATCATCGTATCTATTCATATCTCTCCCCCAAAAGTCACTAGAATTTCTGTCACTTTTTTAAAAGAAAGGGGAGAAAAATCCAGCCCCGCTCCTCACTTGAAGGATACGTACACAATTAAATGCGTTTTGACTTCAGCGAGGTATGTAGAAACAGAGTTATATATAAACATATATTTCATCTTTTCCTTTTCAATGCCTGAAGGGGAAAAAAAAAAAAAAAAAACCTTCACATCAAACCACTCCCTTCTGAAGTATTCAGAAAAAAAAAAAAAAAGCTTTTCTTTAAGAGAAGGGAGGTGGGGAGGAAGAGACTAGTAAAGAAAAGAAAAATATTTAAATCTAGTTGGACTAGTATCTAACTAGTTAACCTTTAACAATTTATGCTGATGTCAGACTGAGCATGAGTACTGATTAATGCCCCCCCCCAAATATTTTTTTATAGGGGGGGGGAGTTAGAAAGAGCAGCCATTTTTGTTTTATGCAGAAATCCTTCATGCCCCCCCCAACGCGCACACACACTCACACACACACTCACACTCACACACACACACAGTACACAAGGAAAATATCTCTATTAATCTGTGCACTAATCAGTTATGAAAAAAGGGAGAAATTTGTGGGTTTCTGGGTAGAGGCTTGGAGATGGGGGTGTAACAGGGAGGAGAGTGGGGGGGTGAAAACTGAAATATTAAGCCAGCCATTTTGTTTTAAAAGGGGATTTTTCCCCCCTCTCCCTTTCTTCATGGAGGGGGTGGCGGTGCTGGGGGGGGGGGGGTTGTTTTAAAAATAATTTCAAGGCGGCCATCTTAGTGCCTCAGCTCTGAGAAATATTTCTGAGCGCCCCCCTCAGAATTTAAATATATTTAAAGCAACGGAGAGGGGGGCAGAGAGAAGTCGAAAACTTTTATATATATATATATTTTTAATCCCCCTTTCTTGTTCTCTTGGGAGGAAGGGGAGGGGGGGAAGTCCCTCAATTTTTTCCAAGACAATTTTTGGGGGTGGTTCGGCCCCCCTCCTCAGCCGGCGGCCCCGAGGGGGGGCTCTGGAGGGGGGTGGCCCGGGGGTTTGGGGGGCTGGGGGAGGCGGTGGGGAGGAGGAGGAGGACGCCGCCGCCGAGGAGGAGGAGGAGGAGGAGGAGGAGGAGGAGGAGGAGGAGGTGGTGGTGGTAGCGGTGGGGGAGGCGGGCGGGCGGTGGGTGGGGGGGTGGTGGGGGGGCCAGAGCCACAGGATGGCTTCCCCTCTGAGGGACGAGGAGGAGGAGGAGGAGGAGATGGTGGTGTCGGAGGAGGAAGAAGAGGAGGAAGAAGAGGGCGACGAGGAGGAGGAGGAGGTGGAGGCGGCCGACGAGGACTACGAGGAGGACGACGACGACGGAGTGCTCGGGCGCGGGCCGGGCCACGACCGGGGCCGCGACCGCCACAGCCCCCCCGGCTGCCACCTCTTCCCGCCGCCGCCGCCGCCGCCGCCGCCGCCCCCGCCGCCGCCGCCGCCGCCCCCGCCGCCAGGTAAGCGGCCGCCCCGACTCCCCCTCCCCCCGGCCCGAGCGGGAGCCGCGGGCGCGCGAGGCCGGGCGGGGGCGAGGCACCCACCGCGCGGCCGAGCCGAGGCGAATCCGGGGCGCGGGGCGCCAGTCTCGGGCCCGGGGCCCCGCGGCGGGCCGGGCGGGCCGGGCGGGCCGGGCGGCGGCGGCGGCCGCGGGGCCAGGCCTCTTCCCCTCCCCCCGCCGCACCCCTCCCCCGCCGCCGCCGCCGCCGCCGCCGCCGCCGCCGCCGCCGCCGCCGCCGCCGCCGCCGCCGCCCGGGCTGGAGAGCGCTGGGCGCGAGCTGCGCGCGCGGACCGGGCCACTCGGTCGCGGCTTTCGGGGGAGGAGGAGGAGGAGATTTTTTTTTTTACCCTCGGCGGGGAGGGGGTAGGCAGGAAACGGCCGCGGCGAAGCCAGGGCCCCCTCCCTGGCCGAGCGAGGGACCGCGGAGACCCTGGCGGCCGGACGGCGGCGTGGAGGAGGGGCGCGTGGGGGAGGGGCGGCCGCGCGGGCGCCCCTGGGGCTCGGCCCGAGTGGGGTTGCGCCGAGGTGACGGGGGTTTCCGCGTGTGGAGCGGGCCGCGGGCCTAGCCACCCCCCCTCAGGAGCGGGGGGGCGGGGGTCGGTCCCCATCGGACCCCCGCCTGCGGGGACCCGGGCGCCCGCCAAGCCCGGGGCGTGCGGTGGCACGTGGGGGAGGGGTCGCGGGGGTGTCTGCGGGCGGCTGGGGCCCGGGGGCGGGTGGTGGCCGCACTCCGCGCCGACCACTTCCTGGAGCCGGACTTGCTCCTGCCGCCTCTCCCCCCTGCTCGTGGCGGGGAGAGCACTGCGTTAAGATCGGGGAGCGCGGGGAGAGTGTCTGGGAAACTGGATGCCCCCAACTCCACCCCCTCTATCTCCACTCTGCTCCCGGCTCTTTTGTGTCAAGTGCGGGCCCCCACCCCCACCCCCCCGCGTGACCCCGTCAGTCCGGGGTGGCCGAGCTGCCCAGCTGTGACTCTCACGTGGCTGCCATTCACTGTCAGTCACTCTCTCGCCGGAACCACCCGCACCTTGATCACGCCGGGGGGCGTGAGCTGCCCACCCAGCTCTTGTGCAGCTTGACCGTCACTCGGCACCGCTCCCCCGGGATGACGAGTCACCCGGCCGCCCTCTGGGCAGTTCCCCCAGGGGTGGAAGGGGCAGACTGCTGCCTCGCATGGGGCGAGCAATGGCCCCATTCAGACCACCCTCCTAGTGGAGTGATTTCGAATCTTCTGGAGGACAGGGGAGCATCCTGAGGGTGCTCACATCTTCTGCTTGGGGCAGGGAAGGGGACACCCATGCCCCCAGGCCTCTGGGTGCCATGCACCGCGAATGCACCAAACTTCAGGACGGCTAACATCACGCTCTTTGTGAAACTGTCACATTGGTCTGTGTGGCTTATGTAGCAAATGTGCCTGTTCCGTTGAGACCACCTTTGAGGGAGTACGGGGTGCCTTCTGGGGGGGGGGGGCGGAGGAGGGTGCGTGTCTGATGGAAACAGGGACCTCCCCCCCCCTCGGCTTGTCTGAAAAAGGGAAAAGTTTTTAGAAAGTTGTCCCAGGGAACCCATGGATTTGCAAGAAGGAGAAGGAGTAAAGAATCGTGGGGAGGGGGATGCCTGGAGCACGGCAAACGTAGCTAAAAAGGGAAAGAAAGGATGTCAGGTTGTGTTAAGCCACCTATTTGTTTGGAACTTGGAATGTGGTATTTGGGTGTTTTTGATCCCGAATTTGGGGATGTGAGCGAGAGGGGCATGAAAGAATCCGAGGTCGAGGTGGGTCTTTGTGTCAGTCCTCCCTCCCCATCTTCCCCTCCGCTCTCTCAACAGCCGAGAAGAAACGTCAAATGTTTTTTAAAAATTTGTATTTGAGATGAAAACCCACCTCCGCGCTCTCCCGGGGCCATTGTATCCCCCCCCACCCCCTTTCAGCCCTCCGAGTCAAATGAGTGACCCAGATGCACCCCCTCAGATGACTTTCTGAGGCAAAACTTTGGGAAAATATTTTTGGTCCGCTCGTTTATTTCTGTCTACCTAAGTGTGGGCAAAATAAGCCTCCTCGAAGGAAATGTGTGCGGGCCGCCTTCCCTCATCCTTCTCCAGAATATGAATTTGCGCGTATTAGAGGTCTATTGTTTTTCATTCTGACTGCTTTGATTCTCACCATTTTGTTTTACATTCTTACCAAGACCAATTTTATCCCTCCCCCCCCTCCCGTCTCCTTACATTGTTAAACGTTTAAAATAATAGCACTCGTGTTGTGGGGGAGGGGAGCAGGAAGCCAAAAACTCATTGCTTCTCCCTCCCCCTTCTGGCAAGTCTCGAGAAATAATATAACATAATATATAGATGTGATTCCTTGGGGGTGGGGGTGGGGAATGATGGTGGGTGGTGCGGAAAATTCTGGTAGTTTCTTTGCAAAAGGTCTGAAAATACAAACCCACCCCCTGCAAGCAGTACGCATGTGCAGCAGACCTATTATGGTGGTGCGTTGTGGGGGAGGGAGGGGAATTTGAGAAAAAATAAATATATGTGTGAGAGATTGATGGTGAGATTAGAGGGAGAGCGGGGCGGGCGGGAGGCGCGGCCCGGGCCCGGCTCCGCCCGCCTCCCCCCTCCCCCGCCCCGGCGCGCCAGGCCCCGCCCCCGCCGCGCGCCGCCCCCCGCCCCCGCCCCCGCCCGCTTCCCGGGATCGGAGCCCGGGTGTGGGAGAGTCTGGGCGCCGGGCCAGCATTGAGTGGCGGCTGAGACCGAGGTTGGGGCTTGGGTTTGCTTTATTGCCCTCCCTTTCCCTCCCTCGCCGCTCCACGCTGCCTCTCCCCGCCGCCGCCGGCCTCCCGAGTGCGGAGCCTCCTGCCGGGGCGGGGAGCGCGGCGAACTGGCGGCGAGGGCCCGGGGGCAGGTGCCCCAACCCCCGGCGGGGCGGGTGGCGGCCCAGGCCTCGTCCCTGACGCGGAGCCAGTTGGCCGGCCCCTGCCACCGCCCCGGCGGCCTCTGTTTCCATGTTCACATTAAGCGACGTCCCGGGGGTTGGGGAGAGCTGGCTGCTGGGCTGCCCGGGGAGCGGGGGGGGGGGGGCATGGCGTCTTGCTGACTTCCTACTCCTGTCCGCACGCTCTTTGCACGCCCGGGGCCTGCTGCGCCGATCCCCCCCCCGCCCCGCCCCCAGCCCCGTCCTAGAGGGTGTTCCTGCACCAGAGGACACAGGATGCTGGCGTTCCGAGGACAGGTAGCACTGAGGAAGGAGACGCCGGGATCCCGAGGCAGTGGAAGCCGTGTTAATTGTGGCTAATTTTCCCTTGGCTGTTGTGGGCCGAAGGATTGTGTGTCCTAGAGCAAGGGGCTGGGCCAGGCCCAGGCTTTCCTCCTCTGCCCGAGCAGGACAGGTCAGGCTGGTTAGTCTAGTGCCTGCTGGGGAGGGAGGGAGGCCAAGCAGGGCCCCCGGTCTGTAAGATCCGTGTCTTCCCCGGATCTGCGGTGGGGGGGTCACGGATAAGGGAAGCCCCGGCCCCGACAGAGACCTATGGGGAGAAAGCCAGGGATCTAGCCCCGCTGAAAGCAGGTCCGGGCTGTCCTTTGGATTTGTGCTCAGGACTATGCGTGCACGCTTGTGCGTCTGAGAATGCATACGCTGGGTGTGTCTCTGTCGCTAGCTTTGTTTGGGTCTCCCGTGCTGCTTATGTATGAATGGGACTCAATTTGGAGGCGAAGGGTGAGACCAGGGGAGAAAGGGGAGGGCCCCTGAGTTCTGAAAGGGAACAGGGATATGGAAATAGATTTGAGGGAAGGTTCTGGGCTACTTGGGAAGAGGAGGAATGTTTAGGTAATTGTGGAGACGGCTCCCGTAGGGTTAGGGTGTGATGGACGAGCCAGACGCTGTGGTCCTGTGGGCAAGATGTGAAAATGACTGGCATGGCCTTCTTTTCCTCCAGGGCTGTGTTGGGGTGACAAGAGGCCTGGCGATCATCTGAGGAAGTATAAATAGAGGCCTCCCTCGTGGCAGAAAGGATGTGAGGGCCCCGGGTGTTAGTGTGAGATCCCAGGTGTCCACCTTTGGCTCTGCCTTCTCAGCATCTGGCTTAGGGAGCTGCCAGTTTGTCTCCCCACTCCAAGTGCTGGGGTCAGGCCAGGCCAGCAGCTGGGCACGGCTTCCCCAGTTCCCGGGCAGGATGCCAGCTGGCTAAGTGAGGGGGAAGGCAGGAGGAGCCCTGGCGGCGACTGAAAGGACCTGCCACAGTCAGAGCCCATGGCCTAGAGCCTGCTCCCTTGTTAGTAGGAGGGGAGAGGAGGGAGTGGTTTGGCTGCTCTTCCCTTCTGACCCCTGACCTCCCATTCAGAACCCAAGCGTCCCAGAGTACTCGAAACACTCTCTGTTTGCACCCAGCGAAGGGAGGCGAGGTTTGGAGGAGTTAATGCCCGAGTTCCTAGAGAGTGGGAAGGGAAGAGGTGAGGAGGGGTGAGGTCTAGGGGCCACAGAGACGGGGAACCTAGAGGCTTAGGTTCTCTGGTGCTCTCTGCTCCAAAGATAAGGATGACATCCGGCTGCTACCTTCAGCATTGGGTGTGAAGAAGAGAAAACGAGGACCCAAGAAGCAGAAGGAGAACAAGCCAGGAAAACCCCGGAAACGCAAGAAGCTTGTAAGTGTTAAGGACTCCTGTCTCCACGGCAAGGCTCAGCAGACCTCTTCCCAGGCACCTGCGTTTTCTCTGGTCCCGATTATCAAGGGTGGAGGGTGGGGAGCATCCAGCAGTCAGGGAGGTCTGACGCCCCCGCCCCCCTCTGGCTGGCCTGTAGCTCCTGGATCTAGGACCCCAACCTCAGTCACCACAACCGAGTAAAGAGCCCCCACTGTCCACGTGACTCGCCTTAGCAGCAGTAAGCCCCATTGAGAGAGCAGGCTCTGGGCGCAGACTGCATGCGGTCAGAGCCTAGCAGCCCCATGTTTCCTTGGCGGCTCGTTTAGTTCTGCGTGCCTCAGTTTCCTTATCTGCAAAAAAAAAAAAAAAAAAAAAGGCAGATAAAAATAGATGAGTTACTATCTCCAGAGAATTGTTGTGAAGATTAAAAGGGGTAATACATGTTATGGGCTAAGAACAGTTCCTGGCACATGGTAGGACTGAAGAAATGTTATTTTTATTTCTCTCCCTTAGGACAGTGAGGAGGAATTT